ACAGCAGTCTGGGCGACAGAAAGAACTCAAAACAAAACAAAACAAAACACTTTGTGATCAGGTGCGGTGGCTCACACCTATAATCCCAGCACTTTGGGAGGCAGAGGTGAGAGGATTGCCTGAGCCCACAGTTCGAAACCAGCATGGGCAACATGGTGAGGCCTCATCTCTACAATAAATCAAGATTAGCTGGGCGTGGTGGTGCGTGCCTATGGTTCCACCTACTTGGAAGGCTAAGGTGGAAGAATTGCCTGAGACCAGCAGGTCGAGGCTGTGGTGGTCATGAGTGTGCCACTATACTTCAGCCTGGGCAACAGAGACTCCAACTCAAAAACAAATAAACAAACAAACAACAAAAGTTTGTATTGTGGACTAATAATAGACATAATAGATGCTAAGGTAGTAGAGACAGTTCCCACACACCCTTCAGTCAGCTGTCCCTTATGTGAGCGTCTTATAAGGCCACAGTATCCCCACCAGTATGAAGACATTAACCTTAGTATAGGACCAATAATGGCACCATAGACTTAGCTCAGGTTTCACCAGTTTTCCCACAAATGCCTTGTGTTCCAGGCACCAATCCAGGCATCCACCTTGCACTGAGTCCTCCTGGAACCTGTGACAGTTCCTCAGCCATTTCTGTATGTCGAGGCCTTGCCACTTCTGAAGCGTGCCGGTCAGGTAGACCCCAGAACAGCCCATCCATTCTGCGATGTTGCCTCATGATCAGACTGGGGTGTGGGCTTGAGGAAGACCCCGTGAGGCGAGGGGCCTCCGTGCCTCACATTGGAGGCCCGTGACAGCTGTGATTTGTCACTAGTGATGCCGACTTTCCACATGTGGAGGAGATGCTGTCTCCAGGCTTTCCCATGGTCAGGTTTTTATCTTTCCTTTTATTTCTCTTCTTTGGATGTGAATTGCTGAGTCTGGCCCATCCTCAAGCAGAGGGGAATTTTAAACTCCACTTCCCAGGTGGGAGAGGGTCTGCATGCGGGCCGAGTGTCCCAAACTCGAATATCTGATAGCCAAAAGGCTCCAGAATCCAAAACTTTTTGGGTGCCAACATGATGCTCAAAGGAAATGCTCACTGGAGCATTATGATTTCAGATGTTCTGTTTTGGGATGCTTGACTGGTAAGCACAATGGAAGTCCTCCAAAATCCCAAACCTGAGACATTTCCGGTCCCAAGCATTTTGAATGAAGGATACCCAACCCGTGTAGTATATAAAAACAAAACCTCACATCATCTCAAAGGTACAAAGAGAAAAGTCAGTTTCCCTCCCACCCGGGCCAGCTTCCCCTCTGGGTGACAGCCACTCTCAACAATTTCTTGTATATCCAGAAGGAGAGGTCCCTGCACCTTGCAGGGCTATGGTGAGGACAGAGACTGATTGAGAACAACTGTGAAGAGCCAGCAGATGCTCCGCGTTTCTTCCCTCCCTCCACGTCTTTCCCGCTTCCCTCCCTGGCCCAGAGGTTCTGCACAGAGAGAGCAGGCCAAGGTGGCGGGGACGGGTGCTGGGGATAAGGTGGGGGTACACAGAGGGGTGAGGGAGGCCAGGAGGGCGGGTACTTACTAATGGCCCCAGTGTACGTTGGCTGCGTCAGGTCCTTGGGCACCTTCCTGTAGATGTCAAACCTGCGGAGAACAGACGGAGCAGGGGTGAGGAGGGCACCGGGGCGGGTCTCAAGGCCATGGGGCGGGGAGGGAATGGTTCCACCCAGACTAGCTCCTTCCCCTCTCTCAGGGCACCTCCTCCAAGAGGCCCCCCGCCCCACAATACTGAGATCACACCCATCGCTGGCTCTTCTTTATGACACTCATTAGTCAATGTCCTCACAAGGAACCGTGTTCACCTGATCATTTACACTCCTTGGTGGGTTTCCTCCATCCGTGAGGGCAGGGGCCTTGTTACCCGTCGTTCCCTGCCGTTGTGGGCCTGACACACAGTAGGCGCTCAATAAATAACTGTGGAATGACTCAAAGCCCTGAGTCTCAAACCCTACCGTGGACCTGGCACACAGTAGGTGTTCAATAAGTAACTGTGGAATGATGTGAAGCGCTGAGTCGAATCCCTGCTGTGGACCTGGCACACAGTTGGCACTCAATAAGTAACTGCGGAATGACTCAAATCCCTGAGTCCTGGGTGACTATGATGTTGGAGGAAGAAGGGAAACGTCTGCACAGCCTTCTGAGTTATGTGACGCCGCTGGATACTTGGTTCACGTCAGTCCTCCTCCCCCTCTTCCCTTTCCTGCCTCCACCCCCCCACCTGCAGTTTCCATGCTCCCCCCACCTCCATGCCCCCCTCCAGCTCCTGCCGCCTGCTTCTTGGAGATTCCTCGTGCTCTAAGGCATGAGGTTAACAGAAAATCCGCTCGCGACAGCTCTGGTTCTGGGCTCAGTGGGTTCCCTCCCCAGAAGCAGACAGGTGCTTTCCTTCCCATGGATCCCCCCAGAGAAGAATTTAGAGTTTTGGAATCAGACAGACACAGGTTTAGTTCTGGCCCTGCCTGGTCACCGGCTACTTAAGAGTTAAAGCCCTGGAATCAGACTGCCAGGTTCAAAGCTAGGCTGGTCGACTTTCTCACCTTATGCAAATGACTTTGTCTGAGCCTCAGTTTCTTCATCTGTAAAAAAGAGGCTATTACTAGATCCTGCAAGGCTATGGAGAGCAGTCAGGGGAGCTGATGGTTACGAAGGGTGGATGCAGCGTTCACGGGGGGGGCTCCCATACTGGCCTCCTTCCCTTCCCTTGAACCTGAGTGACACCTCTCTCACAGCAGAGCCTTCCCATCATCAGGGCCCTCAGTCACACACATCCCCAGGCCCTCGGGCAGGACTTGACGGGGGACGGGGAGAGGCCAGTGCACCGGGTGACAGGCAGGCATGTGGCTCCTCCTTGGCACCCTGCTGAACCCAGTGCCACACCTCGGGACCTTGCGTAAGGGCTGACACCCGGCTCCACATGCTCACCCTAATTACTCGTGAACTATACTCAGTTTCCCGAGACCTCGGGGCAGAAACATTCCCGCAGCTGCCAAGTCAAAACGTGCCACTTTCTCTGCTGCCTGCTCAGCTGCCAGCCGGCTGTGCTTGGGCCCCGAGGTGCACTAGAAACTGGGGGTGGGGGTGGGTCCCTGCAACTTACTTATCCATACCCACTCACCTCCCTTCACTGGAAATGTAGGAATATTAGAGGCAAGAGTATCATACTGCCTGGGATCAACCAGGCTGTGTGACATTAGGTCTGTCATGTAACCTCTCTGTGCCTCGCTCCTTTGCCTGTAAAATGAGGCCACAACAGTAACTATGTCATGGCACAGTGGGGAGGGTCAAATGACTGAGTATATTTAGAGCACCTAGGATCTGCCTGGCACCCAAGAAGTGCTATATGAGTACTTGCTGTTACTATTATTATATGTTTTTAAGTTGGGATCTCACTGTATTGCCCAGGCTCAAGTGCTACTTCTGCCTCAGCCTCCCGAGTAGTTGGGACTACAGCTGTGTGTCACCACACCCAGCTGATTTTTTTCTTGGTAGCTATGGAATCCTGCTATGTTGCCCAGACTGATCTCAAACTTCTGGGCTCAAGCCATCCTCCCGCCTTAGCCTCCCAAAGTGCTGGGATTACAGGCACAAGAATTGTGCCTGGCCTGGAACATCTTTTTATGTCAGAAACTGATATAGTGTTCAAAAATGGATGGGATATGTCAAAAGGACAAGAAGCCAGCTCGAGGGGGCTCCCACTGGCTAAAGAAAGGACATGAGCATCAAGATTAGTGATTGTCACAGATTATGACCCACTGAATAAAATAGAAAGCCATCGATCTATATAGAAATAAAGAAATGAATAAATCAAAAGTTTGATGAAGAATGGGATAATGACATATCTTCGGGGTACTTCCCCATAAAACACTTGTTAATTACCAAGGGGAAAGGGCCACTCTGCAGTGGAGAAACTTGGCAGACATCACCTTAACCAAGTGAAGAAGTAGACATTGCAGTCGGGGGACACAGCAGCACCATGTGCCTCCTGACATGCTGCATTGAGGAGGACAACACCACTTCTGGAGAGATTCTGCCTAAAATGTCCGCTTGAATCCAACCGTGAGAAAACATCAAACAAATCCAGATGAAGAACATTCTACAAAATAGCTGGGTTGGCGCCAGTGGTTCATGCCTGTAATTTTGGCTCTCTGGCAGGCTGAGGTGGGAGGACTGCTTGAGCCCAAGAGTTTGAGACCAGCCTGAGCAACATACTGAGACCCCCATCTCTACCTAAAAAAAAAAAACAATCAGCCAGGCATTGTGGTGTGCATCTGAAGTTCCAGCTACACAGGAGGTTGAGGCAGGAGGCTCACTTGGGTCCAGGAGTTTGAGGCTGTGGTAAGCCATGATTGTGCCACGGCACTCCAGCATGGGTGACAGAGTGAGACTCAGACTCAAAAAACAAAACACACACACACACAAAACCCCAAACCCAAATATCTAGCTAGCACTTGTCAAAAGTATTAAGGTCAGCCGGGCTCGGTGGCTCAGCCTGTAATCCCGTGCCTTTGGGAGGCTGAGGTGAGTGGATTGCCTGAGCCCGCGGGTTTCAGACCTGCCTGGGCAGCGAGACCTCATCTCTACAATAAATCAAAAAATCAGCCGGGCATGGTAGTGCTCGCCTGTAATTCCGGCTACTCAGAAGGCCAAGGCGGAAGGATCACTGGAGTCCAGCAGGTCGAGGCTGCAGTGGCCGGGAGCGGCCACTGCATTCCAGTCTGGGTGATGGAGTGAGACTCCAACTCAAGAAAAAAAAAAGTATTAAGGTCATAAAGTACAAGGAAAGACAGGGAACTGTCACAGACTGAGGGGATTCAAGAGATGTGGCAACCAAATCTGATGTGGGATCCTGGATCAGAAAAAGGACATCATGGGCCATAGGACGGACCCCAAATAAGACTGCAGACTGGCCCACAGCACTGGAGAAGGCCTCTTCCTGGTTCTGAGTGGACTTGTGGTTACTTTAGATGTTCACACTTGGGAAAGCTTGGGTGAGGGGCAAGTCTGTAATGATTTCAAAACAAAAAGCTAAAAAAATTTAAGTTTAATGAAAATAAAGTAAAACCAAAGGGGGAGATACCATGTACCTGGTCCCCGGAGGCATCTGAATGTGGGGTACTGGTTTATCAAATGTTTGCTGCATGTGCTGGGGTAAGGCAGGTCCCTCTTCATGGGGGCTGGGGCCGGGAGGGAGGTTGGGGGAAGTATGAAGCCCTAAGACTTGGCCTAAGCCACAGAGGCAAGTGAAGGTCAATGCCGCGCCACCATGACCATCTCCAGCCCATGCTGGGCACTCCAACAGGAATGTTTACATTTATTTCTCACTATTACCCTGGCAGACACTGATATCCCATTTTTCTAGGGAGGAGATAGAAACTCAAAGCCACCAAGTCAGTGAGTAGCAGAGCTGTGATTCGAACCCAAGTCAGAGTCCACGGGCCAGGTCTGCCCACTGCGCTGTACTTGTGAGAGTCGTCCACATAGAGCTTACTTATTGGCATCTTAGACTAAAATCTTGAGATCTGTCCATCTGCTTTTCCAAAGAGGCTGCCCCAGAGCACATGAGGGTCTCCGGAAAGACAAGGACCAGCTCAGATTCGTTAATTCACTCAACAGATATTTACTAAGCACCCACTGAGTCAGCTGTGCTCTAGATGGTAGGGAAATAGCCGTGATCAAGGCTGACACAGCCCCTGCCCTCCTCAAGAAGCTGCCAGTTTAGCAAAGCTTTGGACTCCTTGGGAATAGCCGTCTAAACTCTAAGTGCCTAATAATGGCTCCATTCCCACACCACAGAGCTAAGCTGGATGTAGTGGCAGGGTAAGGGGAGAGCTGAAAAAGACCCTGGTTTCAGAGCTGACCACAAGCCAAGTGAGTCAGCAGTGAATGTCACTAAGAAAATGGGCCATGAGAAGGCCGGTGAGAACCCCAGGCATGTGACAGACCAGGAAGTGAGTGTCCTTTGGCTCACATTAGTCAGTCCCTCGCTGTGGTGAGGTGACGCGTTGTGGCCAGAGAATCCAGAGAATGTGGAGGAAAGGGTGCAGCCAATGGGGGAGGGGAATGAATGCCTAGAGCACCCCCACCTTGCACTAGAGGTGTGCCAGGTCCTTGACTGGCATGCTGTTGTCCGATCCTCTCGATCAGCTTTCGAGTTATGGACTGTTGTCCCGTTTTACAGACTAGGCCCGGAGAGGCAGTGGGGTGGCACCCCATGGAGTGCCAGGGGAAGGAGCCAATTTCAGGTCTAATTTGTGTTCCTGCCACTCTTCCCCACAGCAGGCCACGTGGGTAGTAGATACTGCTCAGGACTGGGTTGCTTAGCCTCAAATAGAGTGAGCTGAAGGATGTTCTTTAAGGTTTTAAACGGCCAGGGGAGGGTGGGGGCAGGATTGGCGGTTGTGGGAAACTGCCAGGGAAGGTGGGGGACACACTTCATCAACAAGGGCACCTGCATAATGAACATGTGTATACCTAATTCTGAATTGTACCCCACATCTTTAAAATTAAAATTTTTTTTTTTTAAATGCTCCCTCTTTGACTTACCCTGTGAGTTTTTCAAGGGCAGGTCCTGGTCCTTCTTCCCTCACCTTCCCTCTGCCTGGTCCGCCCAGCCCAGGCCCTTGGGAAACTG